TGCTTTTTAAAATCTTATTATAAAAATTTTGCAATAATATTTTGTATTATGTTTTATTTAAATCACGAAAATTACTTTCTAACTTAGAAGTATAATTTATTTTATAAGTTAAATTTTTAAAATTTTCAACTCAATTCAAAGGCATTTTTGTTGTAAGCAGTTTCGAACAATCTTTAATAAACTTTTTCTATTTGTAAAAATTTCTACATAAGTAAAAAATAATTTTAATAGATATTTTACACAGCATTATCAATACTGTATTATTATTTTGGAGGTTGCAGATTCTATTAAGTTACTTTAAATAAAAAATGATTATATCGTACGATTTTAAGATCTATTTTATATCTTAAAAATAATTAATTATATCCCGGAAAACAGTTCATTTTTCCCGGAATTTTGGGATAAGGAAAAGACCGGAAAATGGGAAACCCTAGTGAGATAGATAGAAGACAAGACCAGACTTGAAATCCGTAGGCACAGGCGGCTGTGAAAAACAATATTGGAACGTTCGTTGAAAACAGGAATTCATATTCTTTCAATTCATATATTTACTCTCGAAATGTATTAAATAGATCAGTGGTCCCCAACCCCCGGGCCGCGGACCGGTACCGGTCCGTGGATCAAATGGTACTGGGCCGCCCAAGGAACATTAAATTATTTCCATTTTATTATGGTGTATTTCCTCGGGTTTGTGCGACTTTTAATGGACGACGGAACAACGGAATAAACTGGACATAAGAAACACACTTCGGGTGTCATTGTTTCCTATTACCTTCAGATGGAACCGTCTCGTTGCAAAGAAACAAGCTCAGGGTTCGCATTGATTTAGCGTTCTAGTGAGTTAAAATGTTAAATCACGTTATATTCATTTTTTTGGTGTAATTGTATTTTATTTTGAAGGCATGTTTAAATACAATTAAATTAAAATTATTAAATTAAATCAATCTAAAATATAAACAATCATCGTCACCCCTCAGTGGGCCGTGGTAAAATTATCAAACGTTAATTTAACCGGTCCGCAGCGAGAAAAAGGTTGGGGACCGTTGAAATAGATGACCGGCACGACTCTAATGTTTAAAGGAAGCAGGATATCCAAAAGCAGCCACGAGTGAAGAGGTCGTTCTCTTATATTGACAATAAGACAACCAATCGGGTATGTTTTCAATGCCGTCATATTGTTGTTAAATTTACATTTAGTAGGAACTAAGCATTCACTGATTTAAAGGAAGTCAAGGCAAGATGCATAAACTGATAAATTTTTACCTTTCTTTCTACAAGATGCGTCTGAAAAGTTCGGTGAATAATCCCATAGTTGAATAACCGAGCTGATTAAGATGTTGCGCTCACGCAGACGTAGTGAGAGAGTTGCCAGCTAGTGGCCCCTAGCATCGAAATCACGACTATTAAACGGTAGTGCGCGCAACAAACGATGCAACACGGTCAGTGTGAGGAGTATCACTGCGAAATTGAGCAACGCGTAAACATTAAGTTTTGTTTCAGATTAGGCGAAACGGCTACTGAGACATGAAATGTTAGTGAAAGTGTATGGTGTGGAAGCAATGAGTAATATATAAGAAACTTGCCAACCCAATTATGCTTACTAGAATTAGTAAGCATTTTTTAATATTACATTTTAAACAAATCTGATCGTAACAAATCAAATCTAAATAGATAAACATTCTTATAAAATGCACATGATGTACATCTATCAATATTTAGATTTAGGTAATCATTGAATAGCTACATGCTGGAACACCAAACCAAACAATAAGTATGTTTTTTTGTCTGCTTGATATTTAGTAAGTTAGTAAATTAAAATAACTGAATTATAGGTTTTATTAAACTTCTAATTTGATATGATTTCATTATTATTGTTGGATACTTAGTTAGACCATATTAATTAATTTCAACTATACAAAAAAATTTGGAGATATATCAAACGAACTGATAAAAGTTCCATGAAAAAGAACAGATTTTGTGATAACCTTCATATAATATTACAGGAATTGTCAAATAAAGATAGACATGAGGTACTGAAAACACTCAATTATTATGTTTGAAAACAGAAATACATGAACAACACAATAAATAAATCATTTAGCATATACTTTTAAAATAAATCATGTTTACAAACCATTACTTTTATATATACGAAACAATTTTTTACAAATATTTTTACATTATAAAAATTTAACCAAGGCCTCGATATACACAGCTATCTGGTGATTCTACGGCACTTTCAGTACATAAATATTGGGCAAGTTTGTCACGTAACACATTCGCGTCACAGCTATACGTGTTAGATCCTTGCCTACCACATTTATGTAAGTGTTTTTGCTCATCACGCCATTGTCCCAGATTAACTGAATGAGCAGAATCTTCTGTGTCGACAAAACCGGTTGGACAGTATGATGTGCTGCTTTCGGTTAATAAAAAATTATGTAACACAAGGTAAGCAGCAACAATCTTTGGCAATGTTACATTTTGATCGAAATTCAATGATCGTAAAAATATTCTGAAGCGTAATGCCGAAATTCCAAATGCATTTTTATGATAAATGCTCTACATGATAAAATTTAAATGAAAATCACACAAATAAATAACGAACTTACAATAATTATTTTGTTATAGTACTGGCCAATTGTTTTTATTGCAATAGAAATTATATAAGCAGATTATAAATGTTTGGTTCTGTATTATAGCTAATAAGTTAACGTTATTATTTTATCCATTTCCTTTTTTATTATACATTGCAATTCGTATTTTGATTTTTTAATACAAAATATTAGAATATATAAAAATAATAGGCTGTAAATGTCAATAAATATGCATTTTCTCCATAAAAACGTTTTAAAATATTTTTCCAAAACTAAAAAGCCAGCTTTGGCATAGGAAGATGACAACATCGAGATGATTATAATAGGATTGATTACTACTTGTAGTCTGAAATAATTCATTTTACCTTAATGTTCAACATCGTGAGCTGATATAGCATTACGCCATCGGGTATTTTGTTTGGTTATATCAGGCTCAATTAATCGCAATAACTTTTCGGATGTCTCGATGGGCATTCGGAGAAACCTACATTTAGATAAAATATATTTTATTTATTCGATATATAGTATTACTATTCGAATTAAATATCCATGTCAAATAGATGTACTGTACTTACTGCATGAAGTATTCGGGATCGTTAAATCTTAACTCGGGTACCAAAGTGTTCGAAACTCCTAATTTCGAACGATATCGAAATATTTTTCATACCCAAAATCTTCGCTTTTGTGGCTTTTTGATTTAAGCTATCATTGTAAGTAAACTTAAAAAGTTTAACTGGTATAACAACACAGTTTTCGTCGACGCCATTTTCGTCTACTCTCGGTAGTTGTTTATATTTACAGCGGGCAGAGGGCGCGCATTTCAATTGTAGAGTATTTGCCGCATGTGAGTACTGTACATGCGGTACGGAAAGACGACGGAACGGCAACCGTTTCCGTCGTCCGTTGCCGCATGTGGGTACCAGGCTTAACGGTCAGAATCTGGATTTTCCCATAGAAAATGAATAGAATTTAAAAACTGCACTAAAAACGTTAATAATTGGCCCACCCTTACCAAAATTGGGGAAAGGTAAGAAAATAAAACCTTTAATAACATATTACAATTCTGCTCCCTTAAATTGATTTACCCCCCGCTACACCGGCCGAAAAGTAAGAAAAATTAAATTCCCAAAATTCTCCCCCGAACCAGATAATAATTAAAGTGAAACATCAAAATAATCCTGAGGTCAAGCCCTATCCATAGATATGTGGGAATAAGCGTAAATCCAAAAACGCACGATAATCAGGAGCTGAAGTTCACACAGTCAACCACTTCAACCCCATCCCCTCGCTCTCTCGTCTCTGACAAACGAGAGAAGCGAAGAGAGGAAAAGTTGTCCAGAATCGCGTTTAGAGAGACGCGATCATTTCCGAGACATAAACAAATGATTAGCTAACCAAGGGCCAGCTTGTGAGAAACCACAGAAAAGAGACAATGACCGGAGTACGGCCCCAGGTCTCTTTAGGCAATCAAATCATAATTGATGTTCAGAGAACTTCACGTAAAAAGTCGATTTTTGTTAAAAGATACTATTTTATGAAATATATCCAAATTAACGCTTTTTAATGGAATAAATAATAGCAAATTTTTGATAAGGCAAAAGGAGTCCGTATTAGACACAATCTCCTACGTTATCATCATCATTATGCTAAGATAATGATGATGATAACATTCCTTACATTTTTAGATGATAACATTTTATTACAATTAAGACATTTGACTTCATAAATTTATATAAACTAAATGAAAACAAGACACAAGTTTACTGTTTTGTTCTTTACTCGGTTCTCATTTTTCTTTTCACTGTTGTTTCTAGTTTTCAAGTAGAAAACATCGAAACTATAAATGAATTACAATTTTTACTTTTATAATATACAATATCGTGTCTAGTGTTTTGTTCTCTTTTTTCGCGATTGTATACAGTTTTATATAAAAGGCAACTAGGGTTTATCTAACTATCTGATACATAATCATAGTGTTTGTGTTAATAAGAACAACATATTAATTATTCGAATATCTTAAATAACTTTATTAAACTTAGATTCATATAATTTTCATTCTATAGCGTATCAGAAAAGTACTAAAATAAATTACAAATTTTTTGTATCCAATATATTATTAACTGAATAATTTATGTCGGTCCAATTCATACCATATGGCTAGTATATTGTTAACAGTTTATTTTACGTAAAATTAAATATGAAAAATGATTAATGTGGTAAATGAATAAAATGCAATAAATAACAAAAATAGTATTAATGTAAAGCAAATTTAATAAAAATAATCGTAATACATTTTATTGTTATGACTTTCATCTACAAAAATATGAAATATAATTAATGAGTACAGTAATGTTGAATAAAAGTACAATTGTTTCGATACAGTTTCTAAATAAATTCGTCCAGATTATATGATATAGGCTTGTGTTTATATTGATATACTGTATTTGAAACAAAAATTACCCAAACGTACTATTCATCTTAGTTAATATCTTACAACATTAGTCTTTTTTCTACACGCATTCTTATACCCGGTATTGGGGTCAACATAACTGCGTATGAAGTAACGATTTTGTCCTGAGGATCCAAAGAGTAGACTTTAAAATTTCGAAGAACATTTGCCAAAACTATTTTCATTTCAATCATGGCAAGTTTACTTCCTGTAAATAAATTATTTTAATGACATAATTCTTTGTTTTTGTATTTATTCACTAATCGCTTACCGAGACAATTTCGTGGGCCGGCAGAAAATGACAGAAATGCGTAAGGATGAAGATTTTTATAGTTTTCAGGTAGAAAACGGTCTGGATCGAACACTTCGGGATTTTCGTAAACAGAAGGATTATGATGAATACCATAGATACTTATGACAAGAGTCGAATTTGCAGACAACACGTAATTACCTATTTCAATGAAAACGATTTAATGAATCAAGTCAATAACTAATATAAAATCTTATTATTGAAAAACAAATTTCGTAATATCAAAAATTACCTATTCTCATTTCCGAAGGATTTTTTCTTGCAATAAAAGGAGCAGGAGGATAAATTCTCATCGACTCCTAAAAATTGTAATATATGACACTATTCTTTGAGTGTGTTGAAAGAAATTAAAAATTTACTTAAACTATATCACGGCTTTATCAGAATCAAATTAAAAATTTACCTTAATTATGCATTCTAAGTACATCATTTTTGTCAGATCATCAATTGTTATATCTCTATTCATATCGTTTTCGAAAATCTCATGCAATTCTATATACACTTTTTCTTGTATTTCATGGAATCTTCCCAGCAAATAAAGAGTCCATGACATAGCGTAGGCAGTTGTATCGTGACCCTGATATTAAAATACGTTGAAATAAAATGTAACATTTCTTTCTATATAGTGTGAAGTACATTTTCAGTAAAATAAATATAATAAACTTGTAAAATTATGATATGGCATGCATAAATACCGCGTTTATGTGATATTATTTTACACTTTTCAACCATATTTCTTGCAGCAAGTCATTGCCACGCATCTACTGGGTAAATTTAAAAAGCAAGTTTGAAGCTTCCAAATTGGATACAAAGGTATACAATGAAACACAACATCCCCGACGTACATAATTTATATTTTTGTTAATTGTTGTACATTTATATCTGGCAACAGTTGAAAAGTGGCTAGTAGTCAGACTTTCTTCTGATTGTAAAGTTGTAAATAAGTTCTGTTAGTTATTAAAGTTAAGTATTAAAAGAATAAAACAAAAGAAAAGGTAATGCTTTATTTTTTGTCTTAACATGGTAGCAGAGCGTGGTTGAGAAAACAAGAAGTGAAAAGGGTTAAATTAGTTTAAGAAAATAAAAAAAGAGCACACGGTAGCAAAGAACAGTGACATTAATATACCAATATTTGATGGAGCAGACTATATTAAGTGGAAATTACGTATGTTTAAAAAGTATAAAGATGTAGCAATGAGGGCTAAAATTAAGATTGATGATGACGAATGGGACAAACGAGATATCCAGGCGACTAATTATATCTATAGCGGAATGACTAACAAACAGCTAGAATACATAAGCGAACTTGATATAGCTTACGAAATTATCCAAAAGTTTGATAAGATGTATGTAAAAAAGTCAACAGCTCTGCAAATTGTGTGCCGACTTAACCTTGAAAGTATCGAATTGAAAAATTATCCAGATGTATGCTTATTCTTGGACGCGTTTGAAAAGGCTGTGAACGAATTAAAGCATGCACGTGCAATGATATCAGAACAAGAAAATCAAACTACATGTTAAAACTGCTACCACAGATGTATAGTCATATTGGTGATTTAATACATGTTTTACCAAAAAAGGAAAGAACTGTTGACTATTTGAAAAGCAAAGTAAAGTTAAAAAGTGCAGAGGAAAATTCTAATGAAGGGTCAAAAGATAGATCAAATGTATTTCGAGCTGAAGCCAGGTCATCATTTCAGAATAAGTTGAAATGTTTCAGCTGTGGAAAACCTGGTCATTTAAAAAGAAATTGTCGTTTTGAAATTGAAAATCGTAGTCGAAGTCGTGGTTTATCTGTTTATCGAGGACGTGGATTGTTCAATGCCAGAAACTTTCAGAGAAAACGAGGAAATTATCATCAAAACATACACGAATATCAAGGAAATAGTTTTCAGACTACCATTGCAAATAATACTTATACACCAAGTAAAAAGGAAAAGTCAAAGAAAGATGAAATAGAATGGTTACTTGATAGTAAGTGCACAGATCATATCATTAACACTGATGAGTATTTTGAAACCTCTGAGACATTGAAGAAACCTATAAAAGTAAAAGTTGGTGATGGAAGAATATTAGAAGCTACAAAAGTTGGCAATATTAAAACTCGTTTCCCAGTTTATGGACAAAAGTCTGAGGTTACGTTGGAAAATGTCTTTTTTGTAAAAGATATGAAGGCAAACTTGTTGAGTTAGTCGAGGATCACAGTTAAACATTCAATTGTTTCAAGAGGAAAATTAAAAAAAATATACAACCCATATGGAAAGGTGATAGCTGTTGCAATCAAAGAGGATAAACTATATAAAATGAAAAGTTATATCAATGAAAGAAAATCACAAGCGAACATGAGTAAAAGCAATATGACTATATAAGAAAAATTACATAGAACACTGGGACATATCAATTTTAACAACTTGAAAATAATGTGTAAAAATGAATAACTAGACGCACTACCTAGTGAGATCGAACCAGAATATTTATAGTGTGCTACATGTATTGAAAACAAAATGCATAACTTACCATTTCATAATAACAGGAGAAGAGCAGAAGACATATTAGAGATTGTACATACAGATTTAAATGGACCACATCAAACTACAGGAAATCTTGGAGAAAAATATTTCTTAAATTTCATAGATGATTATAGCAAACTAGTTAAAGTTTATTGTATCCAGACAAAAAATAAGTATATGAATGCTTAGTTCAGCATGTTAATAAAGTTCAAAACTTCACTAGAAAGATGATAAAGGAACTGCGATGTGACAATGGGAAGGAGTATATGAATGCAAGAATTTTTAAGTTTGCAAAGGAGAAGGGAATTATAATAAAACCTTGTCCAGCATATGTGCATGAGCTAAGTGGAACAGCGGAAATATACAATCGATCATTAATTAATTAATGGATATGGGGAGATGTCTTTTATCAGAAGCAAAAATTGAAAGAAGATTTTGGCTAGAGTAATTAAAACAGCTGCATATCTTAAAAACAGAACTTTAACTAATACAATTGAGAGAAAAACGCCTTAAAAAATATTTTTCGAAAGGAAGCCATCAGTAAAAAATTTAAAATTATATGGAAATAAAGTATTTGTAAGAATCCCAGAAGAAAAACGAAAATCTAAATGGGACAAGAAAGCAGAGGTTGGAATTTTGATTGGATATACAGATACTGGATATACAGTATTGATGAATAACAGAGTTATATTGGCTAGATATTGTGACATAATAGAAGAGATTGTAACCTTGTGTGGATTTGAAAATGAGAAAGAGGAAAGAAAAAAGATAAAGAAGAAAGACAAAAGGATTCAGATCAAGCAAAGGAAAAGGAAGGAGAAGATTCTACTAGTTCAAACCAGCAAGAAAAGGATATGACAAAAGACTTGGAAAAAGACAATACACATAAAGAAAATAGTAATGATGAGATAAAAGAGGATGAAGCAAAAATGAAATGAAAAAGATCAAAAAGACAAATTAAACATCCACTCCGCTTTGATGAAGAATTTGGTTATTACAGTATAAGTGTAAATTACTGTGATGCTACTGTTCCAGAAAATTTTCAGGAGGCGATGACAAGTGATGATTCAAAGAAATGGAAAGCAGCAATGAATTCCGAGATGGACGTCTTGTGATAAACAACACATGGACACTTGTAAGCAAGCCTCCTAAAGACAAAAGGGTAATTGATGTGAAGTGGAAATACAGAAAGAAGAGTGAAAGTGAATATAAAGCCAGATTAGTGATAAGAGGTTTTCAACAAACTGATTGTATTGATGACATTTATTCTCCTGTTGCTAAAATGCCGACTTTAAAGTTGTTACTATCTTACTGCTGTAAAAATTCTTTAAATATTCATCAAATGGATGTAGAAACAGTATTTCTAAATGGTAAAGTTTTGTCTGAAGTTTATGTAAATCAGCCAATTGGTTATGAAGATGGTACTGATAGAGTTTAGAAATTGAATAAGTCATTATATGGATTAAGAGAAAGTCCTCGTGCATGGTATGAATGTTTTAATGACTTTCTGACTACTCTTGATTTTTACAGGAGTAAATATGATTATTGCCTGTGTGTTAAAAAAGAGAATGATTTGATAATTTACATTTTATTATTTGTTGATGACCTTTTGGTTTGTTGTAAAGATAAACAAGTTATTGTTGACATTAAAAACAAGTTATCTAACAAGTTTAGAATGAATGATTTAGGTAGAGTAAAAAACTACATTGGTATTGATATTTAATATGAATATGAACAAGATAATATTTTAACCTTAAGTCAGAAATCTTATATTGAGTCTTTAGCTAAACGTTATAATATTGAAAATTCAAAATTGTATAAAACACCTATGGAAATAAATTTAAAACTGGAAAACTCTAATGTAAATGAGGATGTAAAGTATAAAAAATTGATAGGTGCACTTCTGTTCATTAACTCTGGTATTAGACCAGATATCTTTCAGTGTAAATTATCTGAGCCGATTTCAAAATTGTTATGATAAAAAACACTTTAAATATGCTTTGCGAGTCCTGAAGTAGTTGTATTTGACAAAAGACCTTAAATTAAAATATTATAAGAATAATAATACTGATATCTTAGATTGTTCTGTGAATTCTGACTGGGCAGGAGATACTCTAGACAAGAAATCTACCACAGGATTCATAATTAGATTGTTTGGAAATGTAATCATTTGGAAATCCAAAAAACAGAATAGTGTAACAAAGTCTTCTACATTAGCCGAGTATATTGCATTATCAGAAGCTGTAACAGAAATAAATTTTTTAATTTGTCTAATAAATGAGGTTTTAATTAAAGTTTGTAAACCAATTAAGGTATATAAAGACAACTCAGGTGTAGTAGCCATTGCTAAATATGGAAACTTTACAAAAAACTGAAAACATATTATCATTTTGTGCATGAGAATGTTAAGAAAGGAAAAGTTGAAGTTGTAAAAATAGTCAGAAAATAATATTGCTGATATTTTTACAAAGGCATTAGGAAATGTCAAATTCATTGAATATAGAGAGATGCTAAATGTAAAAGAATAGAATATAAAATGTGTGACATTAAGATAAGTTGTTAATAGAGCTGTCAGGTTAGATGTTACTTTTCTTGTATTTAACATTTTTCATTTTTTTGTGTTACAATATAAATGTAAGGAGGCGTGTTAATTATTGTACATTTATATTGTTAATTATTGTACATTTATATTGTTAACTATTGTACATTTATATTGTTAATTATTATATATTTATATCTGGCAACACTTGAAAAGTGGCTAGTCGTCAGAGTTTCGTCTGGTTGTAAAGTTGTAAATAAGTTCTGTTAGTTATTAAAGTTAAGTATTAAAAGAATAAAACAAAAGAAAAGGCAATGCTTTATTTTTTGTCTTAACAATTTTAGCTTCAAAAGGTTACTTACACCAATATAAAAGTAGATTATCATCAATGCCTAAATATTATGAGGGACTAGCTGGGGGTAGCGAATTCTATGTTTGAAGAACTGCGCTTTATGTGGCCAATTCGGGTCTCGTTGAACCTCCGATGAACTGCGCGAAAAGGCGAGAAATCTACCCCTTTATATTGGGACGGCTGAACAACTGTCTCAGCGTCATAGGACAGTGAGTAGATTTTAGTCAGCCTAGAAATAAAGTTTGTTTCCTCCCTTTTTCGGAAACAAAAACTATACATCCTTTTTGTGAAAATTTTCAAAGAAATAAAATATTTTGTTATAATATTTTAAAATAATTAATTTCCTAATTTTTGTATCTCAGAATGTAGGATAATACTGGGCCCGTATTCACGAAAATGTTATTTTCAATTCTTGAGACATACTTTAATATAACAAAATGACAAAATATTAATGATCTGATTTCGAAAGTATACTAACTCCTTCAATAACAAAATAGTCCAGGAAATTTCAAATGGCGCAAATTGTTTCCGACATGAGTCTCGATGATAAAATGGAAGAGACAAAAAAAGGCGCATTTCACTTTTTCAGAAATAGGCATCGATGGATTAAGTCGAAAAAAAATTATTACTAATAGAAGGGAAGATGTTTTTACGTATTTCAACAACAAAAAAATTAAGAATCAACGGATCAATGATATCAAAAATAATGGCAGAAATAGGCATATCTGAAGAAGATATCCGGAATAGGAAATAGTTTAGAAATAAAATAAAGAACTTCAAAGGCTTTCAGGAAAAGCAAAATAACAGACGTGGAAGACTCTTCACTCGAGAGCAAAGACAACAGAAGAGCGAGAGAATGAAGAAGTATTGAGAAAAAAAGGAATAAGAACAAAAAGAAGGGAAGAAAAAAAAGCAAGTCATAATTAGTTTTTTGTACGTGGTCCAAATATGGGCTGAATCAACACGAGAAGAAAAAGAAGGGAATATGGATCCAACTGTTACTTTTAGCGGAAAATGTAATTAATGAGATTAGGCCTAATTTACAAAGCAGTAAAAGTGTTAGTAATGTACTGTACCTGTAGTGTACGTAGAGGAATAGATGGAATTCGACTTAAATGGAAAGAGATTACAAAAGCGTTTCAAAGAAAGAAGGTTAATAAAATTTGTAAAAAATTCATTCTAACAATTCTGTTTATAATTTTAACGTGGCTAAAAATATATAATGCTATACATGTACGCCTTTGCAAACGAAGTTTCAGTTCCTCAAACAAAAAATTCTTTTTCGCCACATTCGATAATAGTCAGGTTGAGGCCGAATTTTTTAACACGAAACGTGTACGTCATACGTTCAGTGCCGCTTTCCTGTAAGCCTAGAAGTCTGACAATGGCGTTTGGAAAGTCAGTGGAGTCATTCCGAACACCATTGTCAAAATTCTAGGCTTACAGGAAAGCGGCACTGAACGTCCGACGTACACGTTTCGTGTTAAAAAATTCGGCTTCAACATTGCTAATATCAGATTAATTTTATGAACAAAATGTCTTCGATCGATGCACGAAATAAACGTTAAATTAGTCGGTCGAAACAGCTAAATACTCATTGGACAGCTTGAATTGTCATGACTTACGACAACTCACTACATGTCGTATATTTACGACGTTTTAAATTATTCAATTATTATGGACTTGAGTTATTCCGGTTTACAAAATTTTTCGGACATCATTTCAAATATTACTTGCATTGAATACTTTAAATAGCGTTTATAAAAGAAATTTAATAAACTATTATAATATTCGAAAAATTAATTTCGTAACAGATAATAACCCACAGAACTCAGTTACAAATTTACAAACTACTATTTTACATAATCATTAGTGAAAACGGCATTTGATATGGACCAGATATGAAGTCAAAAGAGTAAGGTACGACTATCCTTTTTCATCCGATTTTTCCGCCTTAATTGTATATAATAATCTGCTTTGGAATGTTTAAAAAATCTCTGTTAGATACATATTTTTAATTCGTCAAAATTACACCTTTCCTGTATCTATGTATATAAATATAGAAAATATATAGTAATTAATAAACATTTTTTTATGTACACAAAACTTCTTCCTGTTATATTTCATACACTAAAAATATAAAAGGACGAAATTCAAATTTTAAGACGACAAATTTTTAGATGTTAAAAAATTATAAAATAATCCGAAATTACAAACATTATTTACTATAATAATTATTAATAATTCTAAATAAAATGTAATGATTCACATACCTCTTCAATTAAATATAACTTCTAATTACAAGAAAGTAATTATGATTATTGTTGAAATATGTTATACACAGTACTTTAATTATAATATTTTAATACGTTTATCGAAAAACATTAGTTTACTTCAGAATATCAAAAATAATCTTTCTGAATTACAAGCTTGTACTATTATATAATTATTTCCGATTAGTCCTTTAGTAAATTATTCCTACCGCAAAAATAGCGCCTTCCATGTCTCTGATAACGTCTTCTTCCGACATTAAACCTTGTTTGACATGAAGATCCAACAAAGAATCGATAATACGGTGTTTTGTTTTCATCTTTGGTTCTTTTTCACGTCGTGTTTCTTTGTTTAAGGAATTTTGCTGCTGCATTTTCTTTACAAAGTTTTCTTTTCTTCTCTTGAACACCTACGCATTAAATTAAACCATTAATTACTTAAATCACAACACAAAATTCTATCCATAAGTTGAGTTTACCTTTTCGTCGAAACGATGAATTATTTCAACATCCCTCTTGTAATTTCTTCCTATTTTACTCACGAAGAAAATTGGAGAAAACCAGTACATTGGATTTAATACCCATTCAGGAAAATATTTCAGAATTCTAAATTTTAATATAAATTTATTAATATATCAAAAAATAATTAATGCAAATTTAAAACTTGAATAAAAAGTAGAAATAAAGTACTGACAACTATTAAATCTACATAAATTATAACATTATATTTCGTGTGAAAAACGTAATAGAAATTTTTAAAATTAAAATAATTTAAAATATATAAGGTTTACTTTAAGTCATAAATTTGTGTAGCAGTTTTTTTTTTTAAAAAATGCAAGGAAACTTTTCAGTTATTTCATATTGTAATTAATTCTTCTCAAGGATTATTAGAAATAAGCTGCTCGACTGTATATTTTCATATATCGATTGGATATTTCGACGTTATGTTTTCGCTATCGTCAAGATTTCTCCTATAGCATTGAGGCAACGGGAGAAAAATACAAAAATAGATAAATACTAGTCATTTATTATTACAGCAGTATGCATTTCAGAAACTTGATCTGTCACACTTTTGTCCTTACTGTTACAAATTGTCTTTCGTGTGTATAAAATACATAAAGTTTACTTTTCAAATATTATAGCCGAATTAAATGGATTTTAAAATCTTTAATACATACTTATTTAATACGTTTCATTCCTTAGAAATGTAATTCCCTTTATATTTCTTCCTACACATTGTTCTAAAAACTCTAGTGTATAGCAATAACACTTCATTTATAACTTACAAACTTTTAATATTGTATTAATTGATCAACAATCAAAGTTTAGAATGTTTCTTTTATCTTCTACTGAAGTTGACTCGAACATTTTTAAAATTTCATCAGATATAAACTAACTTTATATTATTCAACATAAATATTACATTTGTAAATATCATTTGAAAAATGAAGAAATATATCTGGAAATAATTTTTTTTTTACCTGTGTATTGCAGACACATATTCTTGATCGTTTGTGGTCTGAGAATGTAGAGAAACTCCTAGTGCTATGTCTACATACAAATAAATCGATATTATTGTTTTAAATAAACAAATATAAGCCGTTTGAAAATGATATTCAACTTCTGGAAGGCACCACAGGAAAGACTAATTTCACCTAAAAGGAAAACAGTACTGGACGAAACAGTACTGTTTCCATTTAGGCTATAATCAGCTTTCATTCTAACTACTGTCACCAGACAGGGACAGTTAATTAATAAAAATAGCAGCTACTCCAAAAGGGAAGTCGTCCTGTGTGTCAGAATCTTACGCAATTAAGTCCGTAATTACCGTGAAACGTGTAAATGTTAAAAAGAACCGTTTGAATTTCTGCCTCCATTCATTGTTGGTTTCGCTGAGGGAAGTTCAGTAGCTTATTTATCTTACAGTGACATACAATGAAGAGCTATTGAATTAGAGAAACCTGCTAAGTAGCGTGTAGCACCAGCTTTCGCCTTCATGACGGCTGCAATTCATCTTGTCATGGATTACACAAGAGACTGGAGGCGATGGGAAGCCATACGTATCCACGTGTTTTGAATAATTTTCCACAAATCACGAAGATTAGATGGAAGGTGGTCAGAGCCGTGAACATCTCTCTCAATTGTATCTTAGATGTGCGCGATTAAATTAAGGTCAGGTGACAGTGATGGCCCGAAAAACATGTGCAGGACTGCGGGATTTTCATCCAACCATTCCGATACAATTCAGGAGCAATGACACGGTGCATTGTCTAATTGAAAGACAATCTCTGTAGTGGGCTGTCGAGAACGAATAAACGGGAGCAGATGGTCAAGAATATCATGGTAATGTTCACCTGTCAGCGACGTTGTCACGCGTACCAGTGGTCCCATTTCAGTCCATGTGAACAGTTTCCACACAAAAATGCCACCTCCGCCAGCTTGAAGAGTCCCCGCTGGAAGGAAAAATCTGTCGCTTCATATGGTTTACTACGTACAAGCGCTCTGCCATTGGCATGTACCAAAGTGAATCTCGACTCGTCACTCCAGGAAACACTTTCCCACATCTCAACGGTCAATTTGTGATGTTCTTGTGCCTGTGCTAACCATTGCGCCCTGTTTAGTGCAGTCAGCAGAGGGACTGTCTTAGGATGATGACTCCTGTACCCCATTCAGTGGGGATAATTTTGTATGGTGTGGCAGCTTACACCTTGCTGTGCACTAGCGTTAAATCGACAGGTGAGCTGTTGCACTGTGTTTTGTCTATCCACTGTTACAATGCGGGCTAAGCACCACTGACCTCTCCCATCCACACGCTCTTGTCCGCGGCATTTGACCCTGGCAGCGATAGTTTTACTGGAATTGACGTATTCACGTTACACCCTAGACACACTAGTGCATGAAAATCCCAATATTTCCACTACTTCCGAAATGGAATAACCCATTCGTCGGGCTCCCCGACGATTTGTCCATGAATAAATGCACTTTGATTTTTACTCTTTCCGATTTTGCTTCTATTACTGATACCGATAACAGCACTCCTTAGCTTGTCAAACTGCTGCTTACCTCATCTGCAAATCAGTTTCATGCTTACGCACAACTCAAACTTTGCATAACGCCAGCTATCCCTAATTCAATTGCTTTTCAGTATATATATGTATATATATATATAACTTGAAAAAAGTATGAAATGAATTTTACGAAAATAATAATATATTATTTTTTAAAAAATTCATTTATTTTTTTATTGTATATTGTTTTCGTATGAACGAATTGTTATTTATAATTCTTAATTAAATATTTTATATTAGAAAGTAATACCTGCAATTATATCAAGAGTGCAATATTTCATCCATTCCAGGATATCGAATATTTCATTTTCCTGCAAATGTTTGAGTTTTTGCACTAAGACGTTTGAATGCTCCATAAATATATCTTGATCATCTTTTACATTCCAAAGATGAAAATGTGGAGCTAAATATTTTCTTCTTTTTCTCCAATTATCGTCAGAACTTTATTTAATTAAATTCAGAAAACTTTAAACAACGATAATTTTACCAAATATTTAATAATGCATTACCTGTAAAAAAGACTGTTGTCTCCTAGAAGTGGCTTGAAGAAATCATAAATAGAATCCTTATTGATTAAACTGTTCCTACGTAACACTTCCTGTAAAACGTTATACTGTATATTTCTATTTATAATGAATATATTACATAAATATTACCTTTGCAGATTCTGGATGTAACAAAAGAATTAACTTATGTCCAAATATGTTAATACAAGCAACTTTCTCGTTTGGAAATAGCGTAGAGAGTCCAGTAAATACGTTTAAACTTACTAAAAAGATACAAAAAATATTTATGTATTTATAAACAGTCAAATTACCCAATAAAATATCAATGACATACCTATGCCTATGTGAGAATTATGATGTTTCTTGTTACGTTGACAGAATAAAATGTTCTTCAAAACTGGTAATAAAGACATGGACGGAATATTTATTTTCAGCTCCTGACTATTATCTTTATTATCTGAAAAATTAATATCTGTTATAAAAATTAAAAACAAATTGTAACCAGCAATTCTTTATTTTGACATCGTCAGAATGTCTAGCTGCAATTTTTTTTAATATACTCTCCGCCTCAAATTAGTAGTGAGTTAATACAGTGCTCCACAACAGTATACAACCGTTCAAAAAATTGTTCTTTTGTGGTCAGAACATACACTAACAGAGAGAAGCAGATGTTTTTACGCGTAATTCAGTACTTAACTTATAAAAACATAATCTTATGAAACTAAAATGTTTCTGACAACGGAATAGCCAGTAAGTCAATTTACATACTGCCACATAAATATAGAACCGCCATCTTTTTCGCGTAAAAGATTTGAAGCGTAAAAGTATTTGCTTCCATCATCCCTCATAATACTAATTTAACAGACTCTAAGAAAAGATAAATTGTTGCTTTGAGTAGCACTGGATTAAGTCATCACGCAGTAGCAAACTGCTTCAAGTGTTTTAAAAAGGTCGTTCAGCATCATTTGTCAAATCCTGCAAATTATTGACCAAAGTGTAAAAGTGGATGTCCTTGAATACTTATCCTTCCTGATTGCAGATGCAGTTTTTAATTCCAGTGTCCACGCCTAAAATTTAAAACTATTTGAATATTCAAGTACATTAAAAAACCATTAGAAGGGTTTTACACAGCAACAACCACATTGTTCAGCCGAGAATGAGAAGTGACCGCGCTCGTAAGCCTTAGCATAAAGCTGCCTGACTCAGTTTTGCTAGGAAAAACATGGCCACTCGATGAAATAAGGATGTTTTTTTGTTTAGACCTATCGTGCTAACACTAGAAATAACAGCTATTTTGTCAAATAAATAATTTTTTCAGACGAAAAAAAAATTAATTTGGCTGGGCCAGATAGTCTAGCGTTTCACTGGCATGATTTACAAAAAGCGCCCAAGTAATTTTGCGAAGGAACTTCCCTGATGTGAAGTATTATGGTTTGGGGTGCTTATTCTGCATTGAAAAAATTGGATTTGGTATTCGTTACCTGTGGCATAAACAGTGCCAACTATCAACAACTTCTGGAGAACAATTTGCTGCCATTCATGCCAATTCCTCTTATATTTTAACAGGACAATGCATCTATGCATGTATCACGAGATACGAAAAATTGGTTCGAAAATGAACGAATTAACTAGCTTATTCTCCTGATTGAAACCTTAAAAAAACGTTTTGGATCTTGGTTAACTGAGTTTATGACCAAAATTATCAGTATATCGACGCTGATCACAAAACAAACAACTGTCACTGCTTGGAACTCACTTAAGGCATCGATCATAAAAAAACCTTGTTGATAGTATGTCAAATTGCATTTTCGACGTTATCTGTAACGGAAGTGAGCAAATAAATTACTGAATTAAGCTATTTCGTAGTATATATTTGTTTTTTAATTTATTTACTAGTCAATTCTATACTTTTTTTGATGCTTAAAAACAGTTTTTTTACAATTTCTGCTCTTTTCTGCAATAAAGACAACAATGAGTTTTGACAAAGTATGTTTTCATAAATTCTGAACAATATAAGAAAGTAGCTACATCATACGTGTAATTCTTAACCATCGTATAGTAAATTTGCAACGATTTTATACTTATACTGTATTATGGAGAACCTTCTTGCACATCATAATTTTTATTAAACATTAGAGTCATGCCGGTAATCTATCTAATACTTTTCGATGGTAAATATATGAATTAAGATAACATGACTTCCTTTTTTCAACGAACGTTCCAATATTGTTTTTCACAGCCGCTTGCGCCTACGGTTTCCACGTCTGGACTTGTTTTCTATCTATCTCACTACGGTTTCCCATTTCCCTGTCTTTTGCTTGTCCCGGGTTTCCGGGGGAAAAATGTGAACTGTTTCCCCATATCTCGATATATAAATAATTATTTTTAAGTTATAAAATAAATCTTAAAATCTTATGATATAATTATTTTTCATTTTTAAGTAACTTAACTCAACCTGCAACCTCCAAAATAATAATACAGTATTAATAATAATTCTGTATAAAATATGTATTAAAAATTAAGTAACAATTTTTACAAGTAGGAAAAGTTTATTAATGTTTCTTGGGAACTGCTTACAAAAAAATGCCTTTGAATTGAATTGAAAATTTAAAAAATAAAATTAATTTAAATCAAACTTCTAAGTTTGAAAATTATTTTCCAATAATTCAATAAAACATAATACAAAATATTATTGTGAATTTTTATAATAAGATTTTAAAAAGCAAAGATGGTCGATACTCCGATCACTTAATTTGATTCTTACTTTAGTAAAGAAAAGTCCACCTACCGAGAGTGCCCTTATCGATTCGATTGATATCGGTGGAATTGTGTTTAATGCAAAGACATTTAAGAGAAGACAGATGTTATGAGCTTTATCACCCGTAGCATGGATGATTTCTAGTTCGTTTTCCACAAGCGTTACAGTATTTCTTTTGTCGTTTCTTATTCTTGATTTGTCTACCTCGGCTGCTTCAATAGCGATATAGAGCATATAGACCGATAATTCGGCAGTTTGTTTGGCTTTTTTTAATCAGATTTATAAAAAAAACTTCATATTTGATTGCGTACTTTGTATTCATTTGTATCCTTCTTCAATTTGCACAACATGGCATAATGCATTTATTGAAGCTACTGTGCAAGGTTAAAAATTAAGACAGCGCAAACACAAGTATTACAGATATTACAGGTTATGACAAGTATAGAATTTTCAGAGTCCAGTCACAAATAAACTACATATGATTATTGACAATGTATGACATGCCATAATAAGCGAAAATTTCAAAAACTAATAATGTGTTTCCCCGAAAATAAGACAGTGTCTTATATTAATTTTTGCTCTGAAAGATGCGCTTTTCAGGAGATGTCTTATTTTTTCCATGAAGAAGAATTCACATTTATTATCGACCAAAAATTTCCCAAGTCGAACTTAGACGACACTGACGTATATCCGGTTGTGTCCAACTAAACTTAGATAAAACCGACGTGAACTTACGAAGTTTTCGTGCTGGAGTGGACTTTCCACTCTCGCTTCAATTTAACCGTTTTATGATGTCGACATCGGACTCGATGACCAATAGTGCTAATTCCTCAGCACTACGCAAATGTGATGTGGCGTGATTCCTGGCCGACCAATTAGCCATCACCAGCCGTAACGTTATGCAAATCTCTGATACCCAAACCATAGTTTTATGCAAATGATGCCGTGTGGCGTGATTGTCTGCCGACCAATCAGTGGCTGTTATTTCAAAAAGCCAACGGCCACTTTCACGCATCTCTCCATGACCGTTACGAGTAAAAAAAACTTTGTTAGATCTTACTTTCGGGGTAGGCCTTATATTTAGGAATTCAGCAAAACTTATGCTAGGTCTTATTTTTAGAGGATGTTTTATTTTCGGGGAAACACGGTAAGCAGGCTTAAAATTAATAAATACAAATGTATTCTGACAGTTTATGAGTTAATTAAACCTTCTATTTGCAAAATTTCCTCAACTTTAACATAAAATAAGAAAAAACTCAATTAAGAAATTTGCGGGATTTCCTGGAGGAAAAGAATTTCTCGAGATCCTGGGATCTTGTTGCAGAAACCCTATATTTCATCCTCTTCTCGAAATTAAACAGTGACAGGCAGACAGTCAATCGACAGTGGGAATTTCTAGGCTTACAGTTATATCAAATTTCAGTTAACTATTCAGTTAAATTGCTTTCATTTTGCTATATTTGATTTATTCATACAAGCAATATACCGTATATGTTGTACAGCTGTCGTACAAATAAGTTTCGTTAACCTTTCAGAATATGCAAAAAGTATATGTTGAAGTAATTATTGGATATTTTTTAAGTCTAAAATATATTTTACTGCTAAATTCTGTTTCCTTGCAATGTAGGTATTTCAGTAAATTATAATAACTTTGTCTCTGATTGAAGCGCAGGAACGGCTTGAGATCCGTTTTAAAACATTAGGGATGCTCTAAATTTAAGCGACTTATCAAAATGCATAAGCAGTATCTTTTTATCTTTGTTCTAAAACTGCTTTAAATTACATAACAAACGTTGTGCAAGGGATAACAGGTTAAGGTGTTACAGTTTAATTAATGTACTGTACATGATTAACTTCTCGAGAACAATAAAAAAAAACTTGTGTTCAAAAAGTTTGCGTGTATATAGGTCAACGTTTTCGAATATATGTTTTAATTTCCTCTATGTACTGGTCGATGTTGAATTTGGAACTTCGGCCTTCGCATTTCCCATCATTTTATTAATTTTCTTAATATGAAAAATTTCCTTAAAATTTATGGGATCGTTACTTATCAAAACTTGCTTTTTCGATTTGTTAATTTGAACGGCAGCCACAAGGAACCTTCCCGTTTCGTTCACATACGAATACGATATCCCATATAGATAGGAAGATGCATAGCAGCACAGAAACATATTAATTTATACTTTTTTTCAATTGTTCTTAAATATAAAACGTGTCAAAATTGAAAACAGTGATAGAAATTTGTCGAAATCGACAGTATTTAATTAAAATACAATGAGCTTATATTTTCGATATGAGTTTCGCCGAGTGCAAATTGTTTAAATAATTGATTATGCTAGTTATTACACACTTAGCATTAATAATTGCATTTCTTATAAATTAAACTGTTACTTGGGTGAATCACTTCGCGGTTTGTTCGTCTGTCTACTTTCTGTTCTGTTTCTTTACGTCTGCTCGTTGGTTTCACAAACGTAACCTGTGTGGTGTCAGCATTCTGACCCAGACAAGTTTTGTTTGTCACACTTATAATATTAGCGGGTTACTTATCATTTACAGTTATTTGCTTCATACATTAAGGCTCTAATGGTGTTATAAAAACACTGTAATGTAAATAAAACGAGAAAATTTATCATATAAAAATCTTTAAAAACTTGCAGATAGCGCTAAAATTTCCTCTTTAGAAACTGTAGTTGGCGTTAACTACTTCATTTCCAACTGTCAAGTGTGGAGCAAAGGGCGTACCCAGCGAGGGGCAGGGAGAAGCAGCTGCCCTATTTACAATAATTAAAGTGTAGTAATTGACACAGCACAAACGTATATCAATTTATTAATAGTATCAGTTTGAATAGTGAACATTGTGACTAGACTAGAGCTAGGAGCCAGCTGTCGTGAAAACGTAAAACTATTTCTTTCTCGCTGCTATTGTTGCAGTCAAGTTGTTTGCTTCCCTCCAGTTTAGATCCTGGGCATTCCGCTGTGTCGAGCATTAAATTTTCACACCTTATAGTACTCAAAATTTATAAATTCTTTAAAGTTTACATTTGATTAGTAATGGACGACATTCTAAACTGCTTTTTGCATTGTTAAAATGTTGCCGTTATTGTCAGTATCAAATGTTTCGCGTTGTGCACAAATTTTAAATTCTATTTCTAACACATTTTCGGAGAAGAAATGTAATGCATATTAAAATATTAATTATTAATATTTTTTATGCAATACGCATTCGAATAAATTATATTGAAGTGTAGATTATATGATAGAAAACCCTATTTAATGTATTTCGAAATTAAAATAAACTTAATTTTTTAAATAAAAATTAATTAAATCTCATTGAAAACATATAAAAAAAATTAGTTTTCTAAACAATGCAACACAGATACACTTTTAGCGGCAATCACACGAAATACACAACGTTGAAACTCAAGCAAATAGTTGCTTAACTTTCCCAGAAACATTAATAACTGCGTTTGGCGCAATCTGTTATGATATGTTATTTCTTTAAAAACTTTTATATATTTAGTTATTATTAAATGGCAAAAAGTTCTGTATGAAAGTAAAGATAAATTTCATTAAAATAAAAAATGCTCACAACGAATAAAACCTTCACCAGATTAACAATTAAGTTAAAATATTATACCAGATATGGCATACGATTTTTTATCTTTTCATACTTTCGACCCGCAATCACCAAAATTTAACTGCATAAATTCACCTAACAGATAATCCTTCCTGCAAAATTTCAGAAACTTTTATTAATAAGCACTGCACTTATTAAGTTTGAAAAGTGTGTGGTCCTGGACAGGACCGAATCTCCAATAAAGCTTGCATAAAAATTAGTATTTTTTTAAAGAGAGGAAAAATTGTATGTTTTGAACTCGCGACATGACGTCATAACAATAGGAGAAATAGAGGAGGAGTAGGAGTTTTCAGATCGGCCATCTCCGAATGGGAGATCAGATTCAGTTCGAGTTTAATCTTTCCCGAAATATAAGTTGGAATCCTATAACAATAGTAACAGGCAAGCGACTACTTAAAGAGCTAAGACGAGGAAAAGCGACCAATGAAAGTAGGCGATCGAAGACGAAACTATTTATTCCTGGTCTTTAAGGACCCGATCCGCTCTCACTCCATAAGCGCCATAACAAAAGTTTTTTTTCCTCGAGATTTGTCATCAAAATCACCACATCCTGTTAAGTGCCGCCCCAAGAGACTGTAGAGGATCCTACAAAACTACACGCGTGTGTCAAATACAACAATCCAAAATCAAGTCGCCACTACCCCGAGTCGTACCATGGACGAACCTTTTCGACGTGGAACATCGTAACCGAAAGTTCGAGACGTTTGTCATCTCTATTCAACTAAAGTCCCTACATACGAAAACAATAATGAAAACTATAAAACATTTACTTACTTTCAGACACAAGTGAAGCTTTTCCATACGATAATATAGTTGAATCATTTCCCTTTTGTTTCTTATTTCTCCATTTCTTCATTAGTGTATAAATCAAAACAAGAAAAATAATAACTAAACTTAAAAGAATTTGAAAAGTTAACAGAAACATGATTAATATACGCTTTCCTCAGCACTTTCCAAAATGATACGTTAGTATTCCTATCTATGTGTATAATACTATTAAAAGAATAAGCATCGACAAATGCCAATAAGAAAGAGAGTTTGATGACACGTGATACGTAGTCTGCCAATCACAGAAGTGAAATATCACATTACAGCAACCAGAAAGCTGCTATTAGTTTTCTCGCTTTTCGAAGATTTATTCGAGGATTTTAAGTGCTTAAAGTACATTTTTATTTAACGCTGTTAATCTCCAGCAGTGGATGAACAATTAAAATATTTAACACCTGTAATCACCAGTAATGCCATCAAAGTGAAACAGTAACTTTTTTGTTTTATTATATGACAGTACTGCTGGTCACGACAGAAAATAGCTCAAATTTTTAATACCTCCATCGTATATTTAAATATATTCAAAACTTTATAATTCTCTGCTGACTTAAAGGCTTTTAAAATTCATTTAAAATTCTACTGGCTGATTATGATGAATGAAAAGTAAATATTGTTTATATTAAATCTTTTTTGTTATAATTTATATCTTAATTGTTTTGGCAAGATTTAAATATTCATAAAAAAGTATTTACGAATAAAAAAGTACTGACAAAAAATTATTTTAAATTAACATCGTGTGTACAGTACGCGCGAATATTTAAAATAAAAAATTTATAAGATATTAAAAAAGTCTTTAATTATAAAAATTACTGAACAAATTAAAACTTTAAATTCTGACAGGTAAAATATAATCGCACAGTATTAAAACCGGTTTGGGCAAACTGTCACTTTCCTGAGTAAACATTATTTTCACCTTTAATAACTATGAGTATAACAGTAATTAAGTCGATATTTAATAAACTTTAACCTGTCTGAAAATACAGGCAGAATAGAACGATTTATAAAGCACCTTTAAATATGCTATAAAGTAAGTAAATTTGTAAATATATAAAGTAGAAAATTCAGAAAAATGATTATAACTCAGTGGAAAATTTCATTACTGTTGATTGATCTTTGTCTTTAGTAAAGTAGAAATTTAAATATGAAAGGCACGAATAAATTCGTGGAAATCACAGAAATATAAGAAACTGATAAAAGGTTAATTGCACAATAATTATCTTCATTTTCTTAATTTTCCTTGATCGTTTTGATAGATTTCTAATCATGTAAGAAATTCCTATTGAAATGGACAACCTTGATTTAAGCTTTCCTTTTAAAATAACAAAAGTTCGATGCGAAAGTTTCCTCGCAATAAGTCTGAATTATACTTTTAAACAATACAGGAATTACGATAAATATTCCACCTCAATTATATACAAAGCGAATTTTTTAAAAATCAGATTAGAAAATTCTAATATGAACAATTATTTAGTTTCAACATATTTTATTTTAAATCTTATTTGCTTTTTAGTAACGAACATCTTTGTTTAATTACTTTAATAAATTAACTAATTTTGAAAATTCTTTATAGAAAAATTTCTTTCAAAATGTGATTGACAAATTTACACACAAAAAATATGTAGAAAAGTCTAAAATATTTCGAGTTTTTCCATGTCGAACAGCCAGGAACAACAGTCATCCATTACAGAAATGCCCTTTTGTTAGATGCCACGCCTCTGCAAAACTATTGAAAGCTAGATAATATAGGAGGTGTGGCGTAAAGAGTGGATAATCTGTTAACCACGTATAGGGGACATCATGACTGTTCAGAAAATTAAACATTGTGTTTAGTAAAAATGTCATACTTTTCGAGAATTCCACCCATATCAATCGAATCGATAAGGGCACTCTCGGTAGAAGGACTTTTCTTTAGTAAAATAAGAATCAAATTGAGCGATCAGAGTATCGACTATCTCAGCTTTTTACAATCTTATTACAAAATTTACAATAATATTTTGTATTATGTTTTATTTAAATCACGAAAATTACTTTCTTTACTTAGAAGTACAATTTAAGTTAATTTTTTAAAATTTTCAACTCAGTTCAAGGCATTTTTATCGTAAGCAGTTTCGAACAACGTTTAATAAACTTTTTTTATTTGTAAAAATTTTTACGTAAGTCAAAAAAAATTTTAATACATATTTTACACAGAATTATCAATACTGTATTATTATTTTGGAGGTTGCAGGATGTATTAAGTTACTTTATAATGAAAAATGATTATATCGTACGATTTTAAAATTTATTTTATATTTTAAAAATAATTAATTATATTCCGGGAAACAGCTCACTTTTTTCCCGGAATTTTGGGACAAGGAAAAGACCGGAAAATGGGAAACCCTAGTGAGATAGATAGGAGACAAGACCAGACTTGAAATTCGTAGGCACAGGCGGCTTTGAAAAACAATATTGGAACGTTCTTTGTAAACAGGAATTCATATTATTACTCTCGAAAAGTATTAGATAGATGACCGGCACGACTCTAATGTTTAATTGAAGCAGGATATCGAAAAGCAGCCTCGAGTGAAGAGGTCGTTCTCTTATATTGACAATAAGACAACCAATCGGGTTTGTTTTCACTGCGGTCATATTGTTGTTAAATTTACATTTACTAGAAACTAAACATTCACTGATTTAAAGGAAGTCGAGGCATAAACTGATAAATTTACCTTTCTTTCTAAGGTGCGTCTGAAAAGTTCGGTTAATAATCCCATAGTTCAATAACCGAGCTGATTAAGATGTTGCGCTTACGCAGTGGTAGTGAGAGAGTTGCCAGCTAGTGGCCCCTAGCATCGAAATCACGACTATTAAACGGAAGTGCGCGCAACAAACGATGCAACACGGTCAGTGTGAGGAGTGTCGCTGCGAAATGGAGCAACGCGTGAACATCAAGTTTTGCTTCAGATTAGGCGAAACGGCGACGGAGACATGAAATGTTAGTGAAAGTGTATGGTGTGAGTAATATATAAGAAACTTGCCAACGCAATTATGCTTACTAGAATTAGTTTGCATTTTTTAATGTAACATTTTAAACAAATCTGATGGTAACAAATCAAATCTAAATAGATAAACATTCTTATAAAATGCACATAATGTACTGTACATCTATTTAAATTTAGGTAATCATTGGGTATCTACCTGCTGGAACACCAAACCAAACAATAAATATGTTTTTTTTTTTGTCTGCTTGATATTTAATAAGTTAGTAAATTAAAATAACTGAATTATAGGCTTTATTAAACTTTTAATTTGATATGATTTCATTATTATCGTTGGATACTTAGTTAGACCATATTAATTAATTTCAACTATACAGAAAAATTTAGAGATATATCGAAGGAACTGATAAAAGTTACATAAAAAAGAACAGATTTTATGATAACCTTCATATAATATTACAGGAATTGTCAAATAAAGATAGACATGAGGTACTGAAAACACTGAATTATAATGTTTGAAAACAGAAATACATGAACAACACAATAAGTAAATCATTTAGCATATACTTTTAAAATAAATCATGTTTACAAACTATTACTTTTATATATGCCCTCTTGGGATGCCGTGTGTCGTATATGACACGCAATTTTCCTTCCAAAGAATGAGATGCAGCTCTGCTTTTTTGCTTGCTAATTAATTATATCAGTTATACATTTTGTCATTAGAGTTTAGTGAAGCTTATTAGACCACATGCGTTCCACTGTGACAGAAACAAAGGAAAATATAAGTGATTGTTTGAGCACATGTTTTTGGAAGTGATCATAAGTATGACTGCTTGAGTTAGTATTCAGTTTTCTCTATTTCTATTAATTATAATTTTACAATTTATGCACGTTTTTGTTGAGGAGACTTCTAAGATTATATAGGAGTATTTTTTAAAAACTATATTAATAACAATATTTCATGAGATGAGCTAACTTTTCAACGTATCGTATACGACACATTGGGTCTCAATGTTACAATAATTACATTACAGTGTATGAACTGTTTTCGT